ATAGGAAATGAGATGAGTGAACCCAAAATACAGCCCAGCACCTAGTTTGGTGCTTTGTATGTGGAATGTATTTATAAAGTAGCCTAGGCTTCAAATTAGATGGGTGGTGTAATCAATAGATGCTTTAATAGCAGGAGAAGTAAGGTAGATGGATTTTTTTTTTTTTTTTTTTTTGAGACGGAGTCTTGCTCTGTCACCCAGGCTGGAGTGCAGTGGCGCCATCTCAGCTCACTGCAGTCTCCGCCTCCCAGGTTCAACCAATTCTCCTGCCTCAGCCTCCCAAGTAGCTGGGACTGCCCACCACCATGCCTAGCTAATTTTTGTATTTGTAGTAACGAGGTTTCACCATGTTGGCCAGGCTGGTCTTGAACTTCTGACCTAAAATGACCCACCCACCTCGGCCATCCAAAATGCTGGGATTATAGGCATGAGCCACCTTGCCTGGCCAGTAAATGGATTTTAAGCTGAGTTTTTGAGGGAAGAGTAGGACCTGGACTGGAACAAAAAGGGAGACAGAATTTGTGTGGTTGGAGAGAGGAACCAGATCTAAACATGGAAAGATACTGGTGTCACTTTGAGAAGGATATTTTGGAAGGGTTTTGCAATGTCCAGTCTGTATCTTGGGTTAACAGTAATAGGTCAAATGGAGAATAATCTGACTGTCACTCATTCCTACAGATAGAAAAATTTAAAAGTAGATTGGGCTTGAATCTACTTTTTATCATGTTCCATTGTGTACGTGTCTGCTACTTCATTTAGTTCCCTTTTTAAAAAATGGAATTTTTACCACTTCTGTGCAAAGGTTAACATTTTTAAAAAATAAATTAATTTAAAAATGGAATTTTTAAGCCTTCCTCAGTAATTAGTATAATCTTATCTCTACATCTGATCTGCTGGGTCAACTATATAGTAACTTAAATAGATTAAGAACTGTCTTCATCAGGTTAGTTTTTCTTTTCACCATGCGTGTAGAATGCTTTATATTGTAGTCCCTCCTTATCTGAGATTTCATTTTCTGATGTTTCAGTTACCTATGTTCAACTGTGTCCAAAAATAGGTGACTATATGATATTTTGAGATAGACAACATTCACATAAATTTTATTATAGTACATTGTTATAATTGTCCCATTTTTATTGTTAATATCTTACTGTGCCTTATTTATTTATTTATTTATGAGACAGAGTTTCGCTCTTGTTGCCCGGGTGGAGTGCAATGGCGCGATCTTGGCTCACCACAAACTTTGCCTTCTGGGTTCAAGTGATTCTCCTGCCTCAGCCTCCCAAGTAGCTGGGGTTACAGGCACACACCACCACGCCCAGCTAATTTTTTGTACTTTATTAGTTGAGACAGGGTTTCTCCATGTTGGTCAGGCTGGTCTCCAACTCCCAACCTCAGGTGATCTGCCCGCCTCAGCCTCCCAAAGTGCTGGGATTACAGGCGTGGGCTGTGGTGCCCAGCTACTGTGCCGAATTTATATATTAAACTTTATCATAGGCATATATGTATAGAAAAAACATAGTGTATACTATATACGGTTCAGTATTGGCTGTGGTTTCAGGCATCCTATGGAGAGGTCTTGGAGTATATCCCTTGTGGATAATGGAGAACCACATATTTAAATGGTTGGTGGACTTAACCTAAGGAGACTTTTTCATGACTCTTGGTGCTAACAGGGTTGGCTCAGAAAAGAAAAACAATTTATATCAATAAATCTAAGGTAGGCTTATATGAATGCTGCATACTTTTCATCATTGGAGTTTATGGAATGAACGGTAGTTGTATGGTTCTATACTGTACAACATTAAACTCAGTTATTTGGAATATGAGCAACCAGGAAAAGAAAATAACCAAGTATTTGGTTTGATTTACATGTAATCTACTTTTAATAGTCATGATAGGATGAGGTATGGCATTTTAAAAAAGTAATTCCTAGTGTGTCCTAGGTTTGGTACATACTGAGATTAGGCTACATTTGCAGTAGTACTATACAACAACTGTTCACTGATGAATTTGAGGCCTTTAAGGTTCAGAACTGTTTTCCCTATCTCAACTGTTTTTTTCAAAAAAGGCTTTACAAAAGAATTTAACACTGAGTATTTAATTTTACATTGTAGGTACTGGAAAATATTTGAAGAAATTAATTATAATCCCTTTACATTTTATTGTTAACCAAAACTTTACCAAATCTCAGTCCTTAGCTATTCTGTTGTGAAGAAGTGAGAGTTTACTACCATTAATAAGGCTGTAGATGTACATTGCTACTGGCAGAACTATCCCTGGAGTATGACAAAAAAAACTTTAAAATTCCCTAGGGAACATATCTGTAGGTCATGCTTTGCTTTGAACTGGAGACAGTAGTAATTCTAGGAGATGAACACAGAATGTTCTAGATGTTATTGTTATCCATGGTACATTATATTTCTATATATAGAAACAGAAATTGCCCATAACAATTATTCCCACACTTCACCCTCACTGCCTCTTCATTCTATAGATGCTCTCAAGCTTTTTGTGACTTTTGTCACAAGATGTTGTGACATGACATCTGTCTCCCTCTTAATCAGCAGGGTTAAACTCCTTCTGGATTTTTCTATCCACAGTGTTCTGTGAATTGCTATTTATTTGTAAACCAGCTTTTTAAAAATTTTTTTGAGATGGAGTCTTGCTCGGTTGCCCAGGCTGGAGTGCAGTCCACACTGTAGAGCGGCAAATGAAGACATATTTATCTGATCTTCCTCTAATACAAAATCCACTATTAATAAACACCTTTCTTAAAAGTGCTATATAAATGTATACTTATAATAGGAATGTTCCCTTTAATTTGTCTAGAATTGAAAGGGAAATAGGGGAGGCAGGGAGGTTCAAAAAATAAAAGGAATGGGAAATTGAAGGCATCCAGAAGCTTTTTTTGTTTGAGACCGAGTCTCACTCTGTCACCTAGGCTGGAGCACAGTGGTGTGATCCCGGTGGCTCCCTGCAACCTCCGCCTCCCAGGTTCAAGTGATTCTCCTGCCTCAGCCTCCCAAGTAGCTGGGATGACAGGCGCCTCCCAACACGCCCAGCTAATTTATATATATTTAGTAGAGACAGGGTTTCACCATGTTGGCCAAGCTGGTCTCAATTCAAACTCCTGACTTCAGGTGATCCACCCGCCTTGGCCTCCCAAAGTGCTGGGATTACAGGCGTGAGCCACCACACCCTGCCTAAACCAATTTTTGTGAGATGGCTTTTTAAGGTAATGTCATGAACTGCTTCGTTCCTCTGCCAGGATCTGATTTAACCCTTCTAATACATGGGTGGGCCCAATATACTGTGACCTGATTCCAGGTTGGATCCCCACAGAGCTAGTCTTTGCTTTTCACTTGGAACATGCCCAATGCTGATACAGAGTAAAGATTCACTATAGATCTTATTGCCATCTATGGTACATTATAAAACTTGTCTAAATATTTAAAAGTTTAAAACAAGCCTTACCAGTGGATGATGTCAAGAGTATAAAGTCTATACTCCAAGAATGTTATGGAAAAAAAAAAGTGTAAGTCAGGTACATTTCATAGTAAAATTAAAAGGCCATTAAAATTTTCTTCTTTCGGGCTGGGCGTGGTGGCTCACACCTGTTATCCCAGCACTTTGGGAGGCTGAGGCAGGCAGATCACCTGAGGTCAGGAGTTCAAGACCAGCCTAGCCAACATAGTGAAAACCCCATCTCTACTGAAAATACAAAAATTTGCCAGAAATTGTGGTGGCTGGTGCCTATAATCCCAGCTACTCAGGAGGCTGAGGCAGAATTGCTTGAACGCAGGAGGCAGAGGTTGCAATGAGGCAATATCACACCATTGCACTCTAGCTTGGATGACAAGAGCAAGACTCCGTCTCAAAAAGGGAAGAAAAAACTTGTTGTTGCTTTGTAAATGCTGCTTTCATTTTTTCATTTTGGAAGGGAGAGCCTTGCCTATAGTCAGTGACTTGCACAGGGTCAAAATGGAGTGAGCATTTCTTTACTCGAATTTGATAGGCTGTTCTTTATCTTGCATGAAAAGATAATGACCTAGCCAGTCTAATCCTGCTGGGATTCATATCAATGGCCCCGGGGGTTGAGATGCTTCAAAGCTGCTGTTCAAATGGCAAAACCAGGTATCTTACTTGGGTAACAATAAAGTATGTCTTTTATGGCTTTATTAGAATCTGAATTGTAAACATTTGGTAAAGTGGATTAAAGTTCTGCTTTAAAATTAATCTCTGAGTATGTGAGATATGCCTTTGTGACTTTTGCAATGCAGCAAATTCAAGCTGTTTTTAAAAAATCAAGTTTTTAAAAGACAGGGGCATTAGTGCCAGGGCTGCTTGAAGAGGAACAGCTACGGAGAAATCCTACAGTAAGAGGTTTTTTTGTTTGTTTGTTTGTTTGTTTGTTTTTTGTTTTTGAGGTGTCATTCCATTGAGGGTAATATATATATATATCCTAGTTGTTGGCATAACATTAAAATTAGTGACAATATACAGGTTTCTTGTATAGGTTTTGAAAAACTAGCACTCCTCAAAATAACAGACCAAGCAATGTAGTTTTGCTAATGGCACTTGCTATGACTCATGATAGAGACAAACTGTTGATAAGCATTATGACAAAAACAGCCTTAACTTCACCATTTATTAACATGGCTACCTTGCTAAAACAGTTTCTGAAAACAAAAGCTAGGGTGATCATTCATAGCATTGTCTTTTAAAAGATTATGTCATACTGCATCATTGGAAAAAAACATTCTGGAAGCTGGGTGCAGTGGCTCATGTCTGTAATCCCAGCACTTTGGGAGGCCGAGGCCGGCAGATCACGAGGTCAGGAGTTCGAGACCAGGCTGGTCAACATAGTGAAACCCCATCTTTACTAAAAATACAAAAATTAGCTGGGCATGGTGGCACAAACCTGTAATCCCAGCTATTCGGGAGGCTGAGGCAGGAGAATTGCTTGAACCTGGGAGGCAGAGATTGCGGTGAGCTGAGATGGGGCCACTGCACTTTAGCCTGGGCAACAGAGCAAGACTCTGTCTGAAAAAAAAAAAAGAAAAAGAAAAAAACATTCCGGGTATTAGGATTTGCTTCCTGTTCTATTAGGTTATCTGTTCTCCCCTCTAACTTAAGGTAATGTGTGGAAAACAGTGCCATTCAGATATTGCTTAGGTAACTCTTTTTTTTTTTTTTTTTTGAGACAGAGTTTCACTCTTGTTACCCAGGCTGGAGTGCAATGGCGCGATCTCGGCTCACCGCAACCTCCGCCTCCTGGGTTCAGGCAATTCTCCTGCCTCAGCCTCCTGAGTGGCTGGGATTACAGGCACGCGCCACCATGCCCAGCTAATTTTTTGTAGTTTTAGTAGAGATGGGGCTTCACCATGGTGACCAGGATGGTCTCGATTTCTTGACCTCGTGATCCACCCGCCTCGGCCTCCCAAAGTGCTGGGATTACAGGTGTGAGCCACCGCGCCCGGCTTGCTTAGGTAACTCTTAACAGGGCCTCAGCCTTTGGGGTTTTTAAACCAGTGAAACTGCCTTTATACTGTTAGCAAGAACAGCAGACTCCCATTAAAAAAAATCTATTACCCTAGTCAAATTATTCATCTTTTAAAAGGCATAGGGTTTGCTGTTTTTTTTTTAAATGTTTATCATCTTGACTTTTTTTCTCTTGAAAATTTTTGAAGACCATTTCAAAATGATACAGGATATCAAAATCTATTTTCCCCTTCCTAAATTATTTCTCAAACAATGTATTCATCAGATTTCTATGTGTGATGATGTACGTAGCAGTCACTAACAGAACCTCAGTGCACTTTTTGGTTAGATATTCCACGCCAAACAGCTAAAATCAACTGCTTTTGGGGCTGTTAAAGTTACAAGATCTGTATAAAAATGCAAGACACATTAATAAATTAAATTTTGGCGGCCAATTCATGATACAGCTCTTTTATCTCCAGATTCTGAGACTGAAAATATAACTTGATCAATCTATTGAATTACTGTAATAAAACAATTACTCCCTTAGAATTTTAATTTAGAATTTGTCTACTTCCAAAAAGGGTTTAAGCCAGTTACTATTAGACTGGCATTAGAAAGGTCATTTCAAATGTTGCAGAACACAGAGAATCTTCGTGTATTTAGCTTAACGATACAAAAAGAAATTTTGCAAGCATAAACATTCACTCTTACAACATGGTGGCAACGTTTTTCTTTGTAGAACAATCTCTGACTGCCCTCTTACCTGCCAGTCTTCTCTCATGCTCAGTATGTGAGACAGTTAAGATAAAAACACTAGAAGCAACTAAAATGATTGACGAATTTCTCACTCTAACCAAAACTGCTTAACACACAAAATTATCGTCTACCCAATAGGGTTTTATGTCCTTTACCTGAAAGGGCACTAAATATAATTATTGTGGACTTGAGTTTTTCTCTTTCTGGGGGAAGAAATCACCTTTATAAAGATAGAAGGCACAGAACTAACTTCTTTTATCCTTTACTGGTGCGACTGTGAAATATTATTATAGTTTATACTTTAGCAAGAAAGTGCTGAGAAGGTGGTTATTAATCGACAGTGAATGCTGTTGACACCTTCATGCTCTTTGAAGACTGGATGCTCCGGCTTTGAAGCGCTACATTTCTACACTGCTAACCTACAGGAACCTATGTTGAGATGGTCCCACCGAAATAACACGGCTAATAGTTCAACTTTCCTCCAGGAAGCTTCAGGTTTTACCAACCATCTTTAACCTAATTATCTAAATCTTTGAGACGTAAATTTGATGTGGCAAAAAAAAAAAAAAAAAAAAAAAAAATCCTCCTGCTAGAATTTGGGTCCAATCCTTTAACGTTCGGATGCTCGAATTCTTTAACGAAACTCATCACGGAGCTAGGCCGGCACATGTCCGACAAAATGTCCGCAAAAAACGTTACGAAAAGCTGTCATAAGGCCAGCTTGAGAGGCATCATAAATGGCCTTCGCGGTCCTTTGAGCTAATTATCTAACACCCGAAGAGAGTGCCGGTTCTAGTTAGAATCCGCGCGTCAGGTCCTCCAACCGTCAGAAGGGCGTGTGTGAGGGCAGGGAGGATTTTAAACCCCGTTTCAGGGCCCCTCCCTAAACTGTACGAAACCACCCACTCTAAAGCCCGGCGGGGGAGGAGTGCTGCAGCCAGCTGCCGAGGGAGCACTCTGCGGCGAGGCCGTTTCCCTGAGTCACGGAGAGGGCGGGAGGCTGCGCCCGTATGCTCCCTCCATGTCCTCCTGTAAAGGGCTCAGTCGAAAGAGGCAAGGGCCGCAGGGGGAGGAAGCGGCACCCGCCATGCCTCAAGGTGGCCCAACAGCCACCTCTCTCCCTGAAGACGCCGCAGTTCCTTGGAACGCACGCTCCATTCTAGCAGCAATCAGCCGACCCTTCCCCAACAGCATCACGTGCACATGGAAGTACGTGGGTGGGACCTAAAGCGCCCACGGAAGTGACGTTGGTCGCCCCGAGTCGCATGATGTGGCAAAATGAAAAAAAAAAAAAAAAAAAAAAAAGCCGCGGCGGGGGGAGAAAAAGAAGATTGGCGAAAATGATGAGTCTAAAAAGTAGTCCCTCTGGTTCCTCTGTTTCCCCATGTGCGTCAGGACGCGAGGGTCTGGGCGCACTGCGCCTCGAATTCCTGCGCCCGCCGCGCGCGCCGCTCCTCGGAAGGGTACATAAGGCGGGGGCGGGTGAGGCGACTGGGCGGAGTTCTGTCGCCGGGATCCATCCGCAGGGCTCAGCCGTTTCCGGAGTCTGCGCTGCGCCCGGTTCCGCCATTGCGGCTCTCTTGGCCCCTGGAGCCTCCGCCCCCGACCCGAGCTCTTTCGTCCGCCTGCCAGTTTCCTGCGTCCCCGGAGAGGATCCTGCTGAGCCCAGCCTTCCCCCTCCCCTTCTCCTCCTCTCCCTTGGAGAGCCCGGGCAGCCACTGCCCCGCAGCCCCAGTGACAGGAGGAGACCATACCCCCCGACAGCGCCATGGCCCAGATACTGCCAATTCGTTTTCAGGAGCATCTCCAGGTGCGGCCGGGCCTGGGCTGGTGAGGGCTGTGGAGAAGGCGGTAGGAAGGATGGAAGAAGCTGGAGTCTGGGCCTGAGCAGTATTGGAGCTGGAGGGGTGGGGGGGTTGTCGGTGTTTGGGGTAGATGGAGGCGGGGGCAGTATCTTAGAAAGCTTAAAAGGTTAAATGATGTGGGGCTTGGATGGAAAGGACAGGAGTTGGGGTGTAAAGGACTACAAGGCCAGGCCTGGATCCAAAGGCCTCTCGATCTTGCTTCCTGGATGGCCGGTACTGCGCGTACTAACTCTCCTCTCCCCATTTTATTTAGTTCATTCATTTGGGTAGGGGAGTGGGAGGGGGAATTCTCCCTTGTTTCTACCAGAGCAAGGATTCCTATCATCCCCTGGGCCAGTGCAGGGCTGTCACCTTCTATTGCTATCCTCTTTTCCTCATCGTGTCTGCACCCAGGAGTTGTGGGGCGGGTGGGTTGGGGAGGAGCAACCTTTTTTTTTCCTCCCTCTGCGGCTCTCAACTGAGAAAGGCACCTTCTCCGGTGGTGGGGGTTGGGGGTTGGAGAGGCGGTGGCTTGTCTCTTGCCTTCCCTGAGGCAGTAGGGACAGAAGGTCACTGAAAGAACGGAACGAGGGTAGAATGGGGGAACACATTTCTCAGAGCGTTGTCAATCTCAGAGTGTGTGGGGTCAAGGTACCTAGGGAAACTCGCCTCCCCTCCCCACTTTTTTTATTTCTCTGGGGATGTTGTGGCTGTTAACCCCTCTCTGGTTCTAGAAGGTGGGAAAGAGTTGTGCAGAGGTTATCTTCTAGTCTTCTCTAGTAGTAGCAGGTAGGTTTGATATCTTCCTCAGGATCACATGGAATTGAACAGAGAGCCCTGGAGACAGAGCACGGCTGCTCTGAGACCTGCAGGGTTATTTTGTCTGTAACTGGCTTCCCTTTAGTAAGTTCTAGAGTTCTTCCCCATGGTTCCTTATCCTGGAGGCAACATATTGTTGTCTCATCTGGCAGCATGCCAGTGGCCGGCCTAGGTCACTGAATTAAACCTCTTCAGAGCTTTTGATTTTCCGTAGCTGATTTTTACTGTAGCTGAAATAATTTATTCCTGTTAATTTGCTTTCTTCCCAAATGTCCTCTTAAAGAAGCCTGCCTCAGCTCAATAGTCTGAAGGGCTAATTCAATCATAACAGAGAATGCGGTGGTTTGGCATGACACTAATACCAGTGACCTATTAGACACTTTACCATTGGAGACCATTTTTATTTACATTCCCCCATTGGCATAACATACATAAAGGATTCTTGTTAATAAAAGGATTTAATAATTCAGGCTATAAGTAACATAATTTCATATTTCTTTGCAGGTATTACCATATTTGCACTAGCAAGGAATTATTTTCCTTTAAGGCTTGAAATGTAAAGAATAATAAATCTTTACCCGTAAAATGAGTTAAATAACGCACTTTCTTCAGTCATAATTTTCAAATAACTCACCTGAAGTAATGGAATATACCTTGGCAATAAAAACATTTTTGCAGAAGGTTGAAAATGTTCGGTGACTTAAATGAAAGTTGCCAGGTAAAAGAAGAAAAGAAAAAAGAAAAAATGTTCAGTGACAAAAATGGACATGTTTTTCTGATCAATTCAAGTTTAATTGCTGTGGTTACCTCTATTAAAGTGGGGTGGCAAATGAATGTGGAGAGTTGAGAAGGTGCTGTTCTTAAGTGTGAAAGGAAAACGTGGGCTTATTTTCATACTAAAGTGCATCTGAAATATCTTTCTGCAGACGAATGTTTATAAACCACACACAGAGAATCAAGTACAGCTGCTGTTTATTTTCCATGGCAGATGTATAGCTCACTACTAAATCTTGTGGTGGTTCAAGTAAAAGCTTTTCATTTCTTTTAAAGAGAAGACGAGAATTGTTAAATGATCCCAAAGACTGGAACCCAACCTCGTCAGTTATTGAAGATAAATTTAATACATGTCTGTTTCCTAACTGGTTCAAAGTTTCTGCAGATACTTGAGCGAAGCCATTTTCTTCTCAAATAATTTGAAGAGTTTGAATATAAAGCAGATTTGTAAATTGAAAAATTCAGTCTGTTTTTTGGATTGCTATGCTTAACTAATGTGACTGTGTGCTCCAGCTGATTAATTGCAGAGCCCAATAACCACAGCTTCTTCCATAATAATGTATGTCCTGACTTCATATCATTATCTCCTCCCTTTTTAAAAATTAGAAGGTTCTTGTTTTTTGAAGAGACAGGGTTTTTGCTCTGTCGTCCATGCTAGAGGTCAGTGGTGCCAATCATAGCTCACTGCAGCCTCAACCTCCAGGACTCAAGCCATCCTCCCACCTCAGCATCCTGAGTAGCTGGGACTACAGACATGAGCCACCACACCTGGCTAATTTTTGTATTTTTTGTAGAGATTGGGCTTCACCATGTTGCCCAGGCTAATCTCCTGGGCTCAAGCAGTCCTTTGCCTCTGCTCCTCAAAGTGCTGGGATAGTAGGTGTGAACTACCAAGCTGAACTAATAAGGATTATTTTGATTGGTGTCTTTGGTCTCTGACCTCTGAGCTTTTACCAGTTTGCTAAGTAGCAGAAAACTTTCTGAAATACATAGGAGAAAAACTGGAAACAAGAAATGAGGAACTTAAGTATGAGTATAGAGTTAGCTTGTGAAACTGTAAATGAACTTATTTGTATACCCTTTAACTACATTTTCCAGTTGAAGGACCTGTCATCATCAATGGATCGATAGTAAATGAATGTTGATTTATGAATATTTCTTTTTTTCTAGACCGATAGCAGTTAATAAGTGAGTGCCTATTTGAGCAAGATATTGTTGGAATTGCAGTTTCTTAAAAATCCTAGGCTACATATATAAATTATTGCCTGTGGTTCTCAATTTTTTGGTGATTCTCAATTCTTTGGCGCATTAAGTATCTTTAGGCCACCTGACACATTCCTTTGTATTTCTAGATTC